AGACCGGGAGTTGGCGGGGGGTCTCTCGAGGCGTTCGCTTTTGTGCAGAAGAGGGTGGCGTTCGAGGCCCGCCGGCGGGAAATGGAGGCTGGAGCGACCCCGGTGGGTTTTTCTGCCGCTGCGCAGTAAACCGCCAGGGACCTCTTCCTCTTCCCGAGGGAAGACGCGAACGACAGTAAGCGAAGCCCTTGGCGACCGTTTGCGCCGCGAAACCGGATGATTTCTGCCCCCGCCCCCGTATATAGACCAGCTTTTCACCCAGGCAGCTTTCCCCTTATTCCTGACACCCACCTCCCATTGAGTGCAATTAGTGCAGCGTAATTAATTGCCGCCCCTTGCAGTTTACTGAGACAGGAGCGTGGGAAATCACCCCGTTTTCCTCCCCGCCGGTCCAGGCTAGTTCCATGCGGTAGCGTCCTGACTTTAAAAGGATGAAGTATTCCAGATAAAAGAAATAGTATTTGTGTCTTAGGAATCCCATGCCAGTGAGAATTGTCTGGGAAATTAAAATATGTGGGTATGTAGTCAGTATCAGCAACAGTAAAAACACACCTTTAACACTAAGAATGTTTTTTATCACATGTATCTGAAAATTGTATTTCTGAAACCTCACACTAGTCTTAAAGCTCCTATCATACTTTTGCTTTGTTTTATTTTGCTTGTTGCTAGGATTTAATCCTAACAACAATTTACATTGAGTTTTTTTTTTCCCCATTAGCTGCTGCCTTTTCAGAGTTTTAGATAAATTGGTGCTTGAGCATTAGGCACCAACAAGTACCATACTTTTTTGGTGACAGAGGAGAAAACAATGGGTATAGCAAGTTTATGTACAGTGATGCCTCGACTTACGAACTTAATCCGTTTCAGAAGATGGTCGTAAGTGGAAATTGTTGTAAGCCGAAGCAACATTTCCCATTGAAATGCATTGAAACCTGTTTAATGCGCTCCGGCTGTTTTTGGTTGTACTGTATGTACGAACTAATGCAAAGCCAGTTAATCTGTACCACTAGGGGGAGAATTTTTCTTCTTTTAACCTAAGATGACTTAGGTTTAAAAAAGAATAGGAAAGGAGGGAGAGAGGGAAGGAACAATGGGGGAAAGAGGAAAGAAAGAAGGTCATCACTGGGGTACACAGACCTCTCAGACGAAGGTTTGTGCTGTTAAGCACAACAAGAGAGAAGAGAGAGAGAGAGAAGATAGTGGGGGAGGGAGACTTGAGTCTAAACCACATTGTACACCATTCCAGCAACCAGAGCCCTTCAGAGAAAGGTTTCTGATTTTAAAACAAAAAGACTTTGGAGTCGCATTTTAAACCCTCAGATTTTAAAACAAAGGAGAGGTCTCGGTACACAAGGCCTCACAGAATGCAACAATCAATCAATCAATCAGTCAATCCAGCAACCATTATTCTAGCAAACAGATCTCTTAATCTAATTTTACATTTTAAAATTACAGTCTAATTTTCACATTTAATTTTAATTTAATATTACAGTCTAATTTTCACATTTTGAACCCACACTGGAAGACCCATCAGATCACAGAAACATAACACCCCACCTAGCCCAAACCCATGCTGCAGAAACCCTGTACAGTGCATACAGTACTCACCCAGAACAGGCAGTCTCTCTGTTTTAAATAAGAAAGTCAAAAATCCAAAAAGAAAAAAAATGTAAAACTACAGTACAGTACCAGGCAGTCTGAAGTCTTTCTCCGTACCCACACTCTCTAACTGCTGGGGTGAACTAGGTACAGAGAAGCAGCCTCTTCACTGACCAATGGTTAATTGAAAACAGTTCAAATTTCCCGCTTTCCCTGCCTTCCCCACCTTTTTTGCTTGTGAGTCGAAGCTCCGGCCGCAAGTTGAAACAAAATTTTGCAACTGGAGCTGCTTGTAACTCGAAGTGGTCGTAAGTCAGGATATTCGTAAGTAGAGGCACCACTTTATACTGATCAGCAACCAGTTCACACAATGTTCTGGGAGGAAACTAAAACTGAGAATAAAACGAAGAAGTGAGTTTCTTGGATGTTATTCTTAACCTCACTCCATTGAATGTGCTTTGGTGTTGCATATGTTTTATGGCATTGTATTTATTAATCCTATTAGTATTGTATACTCATTGTTACCAACTTAAATACTCTGTTGTAATTATTGTAAGCCACCTTGGGTCCTTTTAAAGGAGAAAGGTGGGTTAAAATATTTTAAATAAACATTCTCATGCATCATACAATTTAATTTAAAAATATTAATTAGCATGTTTGAGGTGCTTTATAGTATTGGCCAAAATTAAATTTAACACCCAATGCCAAAAGCAGCTATGATTCTCAAAAATCACAATATTTGTGTTTTTATTTAGTACTATAGTTTTTAATTTGAATTGTATTTTATTAATGTTGTGATTCATTTATTGTAGAAAGAAAAATGAAACTTTTTTCAGAGTCACACAAAACCGTTTTTGTGGTGGATCACTGCCCTTATATGGCAGAATCCTGCAGACAGCATGTTGAGTTTGATATGCTGATAAAGAATCGGACCCAAGGAATTATACCTCTAGCACCTATATCAAGATCACTATGGACCTGCTCAGTGGAATCGTCGATGGAATACTGTAGAATAATGTATGATATATTTCCTTTTAAGAAACTAGTAAGTGATTTTTTTTTAATCTTCTGTATTTAGGGAGGTCTGTGCTAATAGTGGAATCATATGTTTATCTTCACTTTGGGGTGGTAGTGTTATTCTTTAGTAACTGAGAGTCTTAAATCTATATTGTGCTTTCCTGATCTCATGAAGATATTTATGGGGTAGTGTTGGTTGTTGCAGTGTCGAGAACTTTTAAAATGTATTTTGAAACTATTTTTTAAATGATTTGTAGGTGAACTTCATTGTAAGTGATTCTGGAGCAAATGTCTTAAACACTTGGAATCAAGAAGATCAAAACCTGCAGGAGGTATAATTAAGTACTGGATAATTTTAAAGCTGCTTTTCATGTACCGTAAAATAGAGGTGTATAAGGTTGCATCCAAACAAAGTTAATTGAACCCAGGTGCTGTTGAAATCATGGTATATCTGTCATAACTTGGGTCCAGCTGGGTTTTTTTGCACCCAGTTTGTATTTTCTAGCACTGATACAAAGAGGTGCAAGTGGCACAAGTAGTTGATTGCAGGGAGAGAGAGAGACACTCCACTAGGTAAATAAATGGGTTTTAAAGCTATCTTGGAGAACCCTTTGTTTCAGGCCTGCTGTTGGCAGAAACACAACTGGTGGTAGACATACATCTGATGAGTTTTCTGCCAGTATTTTGTGGTGTCCATAACTAATAGACTTCAACATATTTGGAGGATACCAGGTCAGTTTTTAAATTGATTTACTGACTTGTTTTGTCTCATCTAGAAAATGCTGAAGTTGTTTCAGAATATTGCCAAAGAATGGAGTGGAAGCGGCTGGTAATTATCCAGTACAGTAGATAAGGAGGTGTTCCCAATTCCTTTACCCAGTCAGCCAGTTCCCCTAGTTGCTTGTATGAGTCAGGAAAGGCAAGGTTCCAATGCATATCCTGTCTCCTCTCTCCAAGGATTTTTGCCACACCTTCAGTCTGCACAAACTAGAATCTCCCATCTGTAATACAGTCCAAAGCCTTTAGATCTACCTTTTTTGTGCCTGTTTTGTTGAACATGGAATAACTTGTGTTAATAAAGGAAAGAAATATGTTTCTCTAGGCGGATCTCTCTAGCACCTTAATGTGCAATCTACCAACAAAACTACTTCTTTTCTTAAACAGTTAATGGCAGCTTTAGCAGCTGTAGGCCCTCCCAATCCTCGTGCAGATCCTGAATGTTGCAGTATACTCCATGGCTTAGTTTCTGCAGTAGAAGCCCTCTGCAAAATTACAGAATACCAACACGAGGCCCGAACCTTACTGATGGAGAATGCTGACCGTGTTGGAAATAGAGGACGGATAATTTGTATTACTAATGCGAAGAGGTTTGTGTCTCCAGCAATGTGAGTGTACCAGTTTTATAATGCAGTGAAACCCTTTGGTCTCTGACTTGCTTGGAAGGTTTCATGTATATAAGAAGATAATTGAAATACGGGTTGCAAATTGACACATGTATGTTCACAGCTTTATGCATTGCTACAGAACTAGGATGAGCCATGTGACAATCAAGTGGATTGATTGTAAAAACTGAGTGACTGAGCATACAGTATACTGCCTTCTTCCCACATAGCTATCACAATAGAGTAGGGCATGAAAGAAGAATTATTTTTTTTCTGTTGAGGGCTATATTCCCATAGGCATTCTGTCTTTGAGGTTGAAGTCAGTGGTTCCTGGCTCTGAAGCCACCTGCTGGTGTTTGTAAATGGTCTGACAAAGCTCCGGGCTCAAAAAACAAACAAACCTAAATACATCCAGAAATTGCTGTTTTTAGAGAAAATAATTTGTTTAATTATTTATGTGTAATTACAGATTATTGGAGAAACAGAACATAACACATTAGAAATGACACGGGTTGGAGATAGTCTGAGCTGTCTATCCCTAATCTCTACCAAGAAACTATCGAGGGAATTATATAGAAAGAAAATGGCTGTCCAAATTTTACAGTGTTCTGGGAAATGCCATGGAAATGTACTATTAAAATTGTCTTAATGAGTGCATAACTATTTATTTTTCTCATTTTATATGGATTTCAATATTTTTCTAAAATTGTTTTCTCCCTTTTCCAGTGACAGCCATGTCCGAATGCTGGAAGAGTTTGTCCAGGAAACAATACATGAGCATAACAAACTAGCAGCTAATTCAGATCAGTAAGTGTGCATGTTAGTAGCACTCTATACTTGTGCTGTATAAAACTGAAGAGAGGACTCTTTTGTAATGACTTTTTTGTGCAAGCTACAGGAGTTCTAGCTCAGTTGGAAGGCAGGAAGGCATATATTCTACATGCAAAATATTTCAGACTCAGTTTGTGGCATCTAAGAAGTAAGGCTGGGAAAGACCCGTGCTGCCAGTCATTTATTGATAATACTGAACCAGGTGCTCTGACTCAGAATAAGTTAGCTTTCTTATCTCCGTAGATGAGGAAAGAATGATACATGATTCTTGCTTTTATTGAAGCTCTTATTTTCCCTTCACCATAACATATCAAAAGCAGTGTGGATCCTGATCTATTCCCACTGCATGGAGAGGTGGTAGGTAAATATTACCATTGAGTATGACCTAGTAAAGAAAGTAGGTCAGCATGTATATGAAAACATGGGATATTCCTTGCAGCAAGACATTATTTAGGTACACTCAGTACTTGTATCTATTTTGGTACTTGTGTCTACTACTTTAGTAGTTGAACAAATAAAGAGCCCAAAGATATTTAGGGGTAGTGTTTCTCTGTTAAAATTCTGTTTGGAATTATTCCGCTTGAATTCCCTAAGTTCAATGCACCACATCCTCCTGAGTTTGTGGGAAGGGGCTACATTGGAAGTATCACAGATGCTTGAGGAGGTTGACATGCTATCTGGTGTCATCTTCATTGGATGGTTTGAGCCACATCCTGTGCATTCGGACATGAAAAATAGGCTAGTCTGTAAACATAATGTTATATTTGCTGTCACCTCTTTCTGTTGTCTGTGTCATCATCTTAACTTTTATTTTTAAAAGTGGCAATTTTAATGTTTAAATTATAAGTATTTTGTAAAATGCAGTGAAAGGAGACATGCTGAAAGTGTGTCAAGAAATGGATGTTGTAGGACAAAAGGACAAAAAGCTGACCCCACAGCTATAAATAGTCACACAGCATCCTGAGAGACTCTTCCCATCCTACTTATAACTTTTTTGAACTGTTGCCGTCTGGCAGAAGATATAGAACA